ACACTGATGGTGAAGTGGTTATCATGCTTGCCTTCCAAGTGGTTCAGCAAGCGGCAGGGGTTCGATTCCCCTTCAGTGTATACTTGGATGGAATCTGGCTTCCAGAATAATTTTGCTTCGCTATTCACATACACGACGGTCAGGATTTAGCTGAAGGTCCCAGTATCGATTATTTACAGCAGCTCCGAAGGTTCGATGTCCACAATCATTTTTCTCTTTCTTTATCTGGTTCTCTGGCCTTCTGAACAGACCGTGTCGAACACAGGACTTCCTTGTGAAGCCATCAGCGTAGTGGACTGGCATACGATGTGGGACCGACACATGTCATGCCCCCGCAAGCTTCTTGATGATGAAAGGAGGCATCGCAACCCTATCAGCACGGAAAGGGTGGATTGGCCTTGCAAAGACATTCATGAAGCGGTTTGATGGACACACGGAAGGGTTGGCGTTATGCACACTTGGTTCTGATGGTTCGAAAAAGTGTTGGTTGTGACAAGAATTCTACGCTGGTGTCGCCGAAAGTACTAGTACATCGCCACTTGTGGAAGGGAGAATTGTACCATGTACGAAGTCGGATATGCTCACGGATGGCTTCTATAGCGCGCGTTTGCATTTACCAGTTAAGAGGTACAGACTTGTAATTCAAACAAGCCCGAGATCCACCCGAGGATAGTGAGCCATGTGTAGATTGCATGCATATGGACCCTTGACAAGTCAGCACTGCTGCAAAGATGAAGTAAGCGTGGTAGATTTGGAAGGTCCATATGCACCCCGAACGCGAACCATATGCTCAGTAAGCTCAATTCTCAGTCGTTTCGGACTGACAAATGATATGGTGCGAGCCTCTAGGCCAAGTAAATCGGTTGAAATGATAAAACCCATTCTGCGTATCTAGCGAGCCAGTCGGACTGTCCAGCCAGAACTCGATGCCTGCAGCCTGTGAGGTCATAAAGTAGCGAGACGGAAACGAGAGTGATCAATTCAGGGTTCGGGCCGGAACACGGAAAGCCGAGGACGTCACGTTCCTGGATTGATAAGCGAAACTTTCG